CAAGAGGCTAGAATTTTTGTTAGATGGAGGCAGACCAGGCGGGTGGGGAGGGGGGGGGGGGGGCTGGTGTATGGACTAAAATCTGAGGCACTTGTCTTTGTGCCGACAAACATGGAATATAATATATGGATAAACAATGGAATGTTGAAGGTGTAATGGGAAGGAAAGGGAAGTCTGGACTCTCTGGAACACCATTAAGTTCGTGCACCTCGTCTTTCAATATTACACAGGTGTCTCCCTCTCCGTAGTTCACCCTCTCATCTTTTCCGGTTCCCCCTCATCTCTCTCTCTCTCTCTCTCCCTGTCACATTTATTATGGCTCTGTGTCTTGTTACTATCTCTAGTGATTGGTTCTGACATGGTTGATTGATATTGATAATTGAATAATTTCTTGAATCTCACGATGAAGGTTCATTAAATACACCGTAAACGAAAGCAAAATAAAAAAGGGCACACGTAACATCTATTTAATTAAAATTTCAAACTGTTATCAAATTTCTACTATGCTACATTACCAGTGACTTTTGAATGACCTTATTTGTACTTATTTCTCGAAAGTCAGTTATTATGTAAGATCTATAGATTTCATTGAAAACTTCAAAATGTAAATGCGTTAATACTGCACAGACCCCCCCCCCCCCCCTCCTCCATCATATTGCCCTTTCTGATTGCAAGAAAATAAAATGACGTCGGGTTTTCTACATGTTCTATATGTATCAATTAAGAATTATTTTAGTTCTTCGCTGTCGAAAAAAACATTTACGATGCTAGACCTCAACATTACCTTTAACACCGACTAATGTGAACGCTCCCTTATGTTACCACGGCAAGAAAGCCTGGACCTTGTGCATAATGCAACTCTCACTGACCCGGAAATTTGGCGGGGAAACAAGTACGCCACGGTCGCCACTCGTGTTTATATCCCCGTGGACTTGAGGGAAGATTGCGAACAATCTGACCATCGAAGCCCGTCTTTCATCAGCTCGCAATATCTGTTAGGCCCTCGGCACACATCCAGTAGATTATATAGATGCAATTGATAGATTGCGTATATATAATAGTATGCTATATATACCTTCTTGCCTGGAAGGAGTTCCTCCGTAATATTAAGCACCGAATAGCATTATATCTTGTGAAAATTGTGAAAGGGGGGGGGGGGGTGTCCATGGAAGTTCACATTGTTCTTTCGACGTGGCACGCTTCACCTTTGTATATACTAAAGATCACGCGAAGGCATCATTTCTACTATGAAATAACAATTATGTGCATCGACAGGAAATTTCGGCTGTTAGAAATGATTTCTATGATTTCCTTCCCTTCACATTCTTCCATTCTCAATTTCCAAGATCTAAAAAAAAAAACAGAACAAAAAAAAAAAAAAAACGTACCGAAAAAACTAGAGATTAACAAGCAACAAAAAATAATTCAAATCTTGCTCTGCATTTGTATCTACCAAAAGGACAATCTTAAAGGAACTCGTTCAGTTGTTGACATGAGCGCTCAATTATTAGCCTTCCAGCCAACATCTATGGTATCCGTAATGTATACGAGACGGCGTCAAAATAAGGTTCGAATTATCACCTCGTTATCGTCATTTCCAGCCTCTAAATTTAAACATTTTTTCTTCCGCCAAGATTCATTTATCCGAAAATTGAGAAGGCGGCATAGAAATGAACTTGATCTGAAAATGCGCATATGATATGATTTCAATATCTCTTGGTCTGACTTACAAATGATAAAGATTTTCTTTCGCTAAGTCATAAATGATTGAGAATGTTATTGAATATGCTGTCTACGATTCCCTACCGATTAAGACGCGTACGTGTAGAGGGAATTTGTAAAATCTAAGTTGGAGAGGGCAATACATCCCATCTAATCTTGCCGTTTTAATACTCATTTTGACTCGTATTTGCTGCATTGATGAAAAACTAAAGTCTCATGTGTTTTTCCAATTGTTTCTTTGATCACAAATACAATGATTCTTTTACGTGTCCACAATAACCTTTATATTTGCGGGGGATGTAGTCAAAGAAAAAGCGTGCCATCATTTATACCTAACAATAATTGTTTGTGGCTGCTTTAGCAACGCTTTTGAACGGATAATTTAATCAAAAAATTAATTAACAGAACACTAGCTATTGCTTCAAAGTATCTTATAACGCCACTATGATACTGGTTATATATTCCGTATAGTTCTTCTAATTTCTGCTTTGTGGTATGTTAATCCTTTGATATCGTGCATATCTGTAGCATGTAAAGCCCATCGTAGTATCTTAATGCAATGTTGCTGTTGACGAGAGAGTCGGGTGGATGGATGGGTACTGACAAGTCATTCCTTGGAGAGTCACGTGACCTTGTGTCATGTGTCATTCTGTGGGAGTCATGTGATAGTGTCATGTGACTAATGTTGCGACTCCCCGCGGGTGTTTTCCAGTAGATTGCCGGTGACATTGCCTGTGTGACGTTGTCAAAACATGAATGTGATAATAGCACCCAAGATGACATGATAAACAGCGGGATTTCTAGATGGCGAAGAAGACGGAATGGATGTTGTTATTAAAGGGGATGGTTCTTTTCAATAGATAGGAGTGGAAGGATAATGATGGATCTTTTTCATACATAAGAATTGTTAGAAACGTTTATAAGGATGAATTAATGATGACATCTGATGCTACTATACCTTTTTGCGATATTGCTTAATATGTGTGGGGTATCATTTCTTTGAGGAGGGGTTTAATTCAGAATGTCTTTTAGATAGGACTTTATCACTTTACAGGGCATTTTCGTTCCAAGATAACTTTCAGAATAATCCTCAATATTACGAAGGTAAAGATAGTCCGTGAGCGACGAGTAACTGTAATCTGTAGGCCCATTGTTTTTCCATATCCTGCACTTCTTCTACTTAAATTTGATGACCCTTTTCCTTATCTCGTACGTTCTATGCAGCGTCTTGTGTCTGTCACATGGCATTTGTCCTTGTTTGTTCATCTTCCCACTTAAACACTGCGACCTTCCCCTTTTATCTTAAGTGATCGTATTCCCCATCTTGAGAGCGACAGCTATTCAATGCATGGAACCAGTGACACGGATTGAACTTTGAAGCTACATTCATTAGGTTTACATGGCAATGTAAGATTCGTCCGATGCTTAATTCATTTCCAAAGCATTCACTCGATTCATCCTAATGGTTACCCACGTATTTCATCTGGGTGGAGAGAGGCATATGTTGATTAATGTCTTGCCCAAGGAGTTGGTGATGTGGCAGGGATTCGAACCCCGTACCTTGTGATCCACTGTCCGGTGAATTATCCAATCCAATAGACCACAGCACAGAAATAGAACACAGCACTGAAATATCTAGGTAGATGTTATCAATATTCTGACAAATAAGACATGACAGATACAAGATCGAAACTCCAAACTCGAAACAGGTGCCTTTATCAAAACCTCCCCCCCCCCCCCCTCCCTTGGTCTTTCTTCTCAACTTTCAAATCAAAATAGGTTAGGGCAATGTGCGGAAATGATTCATTGTTAAGATGTATGACCACATTTTCCTCAGGGTGCGTATTTGTAAACTGTTATCCTTTTCTCTTTGAGGTTGTGTCTATTTTTCATGGCTTGAAGCGTTACAGACATGTTTTCAATTTGGCACGTTTTTCTTCTTTATTGACATTGATCTTGCCATTTTTTTACCATGGACATGTCGGTGCAACAGTGGCACAATGCTCAGTATACAAATTGAATGCTTTGTCTATGGACAAACGATTTGAAATAATTCCCTGTTTACATGTAGGAGTCCGCTTGGAATAATAAGCACAGTTTATGTTCATGTGCTGCAGGATTATAAAAAATGCCTGGGTAACTGTATTGAAGTTTATTATTTTTCACTAAAAATATATTGGCGCCACATCAAATCGTGAACGAAGATCCGTCGAAAACATGCTCCAAACTTACTTTTCCTTTGAATATGTGCATTACATTAGATTTGTGCTGCCTGTCATGTTGGGAGTTCCGTCTCGTACTATTTTGAAGGTTCCGTTGTTGACCCAACCTCACTTCACAGACTTTCTGTGTTACAACATTATTTTCCATCAGGAAGAATCTCTTATGATTTAACAGGTGATGTGTATGCTGTATAAATAGAGAGTAGAAACTTCCAAAGCCTGTGAAATCATGGACCTACTGTGGGTGGGTAAACCCCAGTCACACAAACGAGACCGTCACCACAGCGATGCAAGCCGACAACAGACCGATCAAAATATGACTGTACCCCCGAATGACCAAGAATAACTTGGTTTCATATTGGATTCGGTTGTACGGTGTGGCTGGTTTATTAAAGTTCCCAAAAGCGAGACGAATGTCTGCCAACATCTTCTCAAACGGTGAATTTTACTTTTTTTTCTTGAGACTGAAAGTGGACAAACTGCGGTTATGTATTATGCCATTGGCGTGATTAGAATGAAGCCAAAATCATTGATTTACTATCCATGAGACAGTGATAACACCTGCCACATGCAAGTACGTAATCCGATCAAATATTATTCCTATACTCTCCTCTTATCAAATTATAGATTTACCTTTTATATAGGGTTTTTAGCATTCATTTGAAGTCTTTGACATAACGGTAATATATGAAACTTATCAAATAAGTGCCAAAAACGACTTTCTTGCAAGAAACATCAGTAATTAGTAATCACACACAATTTTGTATTTCCTTTGTCAAGATAACATTGGGATATGTAGTCCAGCCAGGGACGTGTTTTTTGAAAAACCTTTTATCAATAACAATTGCAGCAGATATATGACAATTTTGCTCTCAGTCTGTGAAAAGCTCTGAGTTCAGTAGCTTGTAAGTTGTAACAGTTATTGTGACCTTATTCCATAACAAGTTTTATGCAACAGGATCCTGGTCAGCTTTCTTTGGAGAACATTAATCTTGTAGAGGAACCTTGGGGTTACATTTGATAAGTTGACGACCTTTTGATTCAGGCATAATCAGCATGGTCAGCAATCTTGTGTTTGTCATAGCCCATGCTAACACGAGGGTGAGCTAATGTTCCTGTCGTTCATTAAAGCAATCAAACATGCGGTTTGGTTCTTTCTCAGGGCTGCAGTGATCCGATGAGGACATTTTATTTTGTCCCACTTCCGGTCGTGGCCATCAGCCAGAGTGACTAAATTACCGACACCAGTACTATATAATGTGAATTAATTCACCAAGAACTTCTCTTGTCTGCATTATGAAGGGACAGGCATTTCTGGCAACATGTAACCCGAGCTAGCTAGTCGACAGCACAAAAGATTTCTACCAAGATCCGTTAAACCTTTCTCGATATGGTCTTCAGGCTGGCAGCTATATGATTGACTTTGTCCCTCGGCGTCGCTGCCAAGATCGCTGAAGATTGCACCTGTCTTCCGCCGATAGCAAACGAGTAGGCTGTATTTCACAGTCGATGACTGATGTCTGATTTGTCAAGAAGCAGACGACACATGGGTTGATTGTCGTTCCATTGTTGACCATGTCAGTGACTCAGACATTGAATGGCCTTACTATTATATCCCCATTGGAACACCTCACCCAGCCCCTCTCCTGTAAAATGATGTGATTGTTGTCTCGGTCAGTCTAAGTGTAATTGTGTATTAGAGATAAAGGGAGCCGTCTTAGTGAGTACATGTACATGTAGATAACTTTCTATCCAATCACGTACACCTCCTCCAACTAATAAGGAGAAACAAGGAACACTTCCAAACGTTATAAGGCCCATGACTGTCGCACTTGAGAGCGTTGGCCACATATTACCGTCAAACATAAATGTGATAAAACCGGACTATGTAGCAAAAAGTGTTGGATATCGGTGTTGCTCGCCGATTCATAATTATGATTGGCTCCCAAAGATACAAAGTAGGAATGCTGAACAAATGATTACGGTGATATTATGCAGTTTACACCATTTCTCTGAGACATCGAGTACTTAATATTCAAATGACAATAACTCATCAAAATATAGAAGGAATACATCCATGTATGAAGAGGGCCTTACGTGGGACATGAACTTTGTTATCCAATTTTGAACTACATGTACATGTATTTCATGTAGGTTGTCCATACCCTTGGATAAAAAAGACATGTTCACGAATACATGTTTCTATAATGTAATAAAAAGAATCGAGCAATATTACAGACAAGTCTGACCTTTCGGCGGCCTCCTCATTGGACATTTCGGTGTAGATCAAAATGAAAGAGTTTAGACGTGTTGGTTATGAGTCTTCAGACCATCTTTGACAATTTCGATATACAGATTTGAAGCCTGAACGCGATTTGATTGTGATTGCAGTGTTCGGGGTAAGCCCCCTCGAGTCTGCAGAGCTCACAAAGTGCAAGGACGAGTCTACTCGGCCTGTGAACTGTAGGGCTCCTTTCTCATAAACGACAAGGCATCCTTCCTCGTGGGATGCTAATAAAATTGGCGGTATTTCGACTTCGGGAGAGCGGGGGGATTTCTTATGAATAATGCACGACATATTAAATCCGCCAGCGAGTCGGTCAACCACCTTCCCTGGCTAATTCCCTTTGTCTCTATCCCTGGTGGATGCTCGTACATAAATACAATTTATTTCCTTTTTTAGGGGATAACACTTGTCAAGACAACATGGGTTGAGTGAAGGTAAATCAGTCAACTTGTGGCAATGTGATTTACGTGTTCTATTTGTTGTATTTTTTAAAGGAAAACTTCATTGACATTGTTCACGAATACTCTGTTTTACAAGATTTACAAGGGTATTATGATTTTTGAGAAAAGTCCTCAGGGTTCATGTTTTCGGCTTTATAACTTGTACATTCTCAAATAAGTGATCTTTGTTGATCATCTTCTAATCCATTTATCGAGTGCATACAATAATTGTATCTTGATACTAATGATAAGAAGAGAATAATTTTTCCTCATTTTCTACTTCCATGCAGCAAGAGAGTTAAGTTACGATTTTAGACGCGCAAGATTTGAATTAAAATTGAAGAAATAGGACGCTTCCAAGATGGTCATGGATTAATGGGTATAATGTTCGGATTGCAAAGGCATCAGTAGAAAGCAGGTTGAAATAAAAACATGTAGGGGAAAATAGATGCATTGCAAAAGTTGAGACGGTCCAATTGTAGTTGATTCAAAAATTGTAATCAAAATTACTGTAAAAATGAATGTATGTCAAGGGTTAGAGTGAAGTGTGAGGTTATTTATCCTTCTAAATTAGGCAGTTTCCTATACGATACCTTGGTCTGTTTTTTCCTCTTCACCTATCACCCACGCCCTGATTTCCACTCGTTCTCATCAGAGCGTGTATATGGTTATACCGTGCCGACAAAATGGCTATACAGGGGCAGACACCGGTCACGGGGTCTTCCTTGAAATATGGTGCTTGTTAAAAATAACAAGGGCAGACAAAGTCAAATTATCCGCCATCTTGACTGAAAGAGGTAGAAAAATAGACACGCAGACTGACGGAGAGAGAGTCAAATAGAAATACAAATAGAGAGTGAGAGTGAGGGGAGAGAAAGAGAGAGAGAGAGAGAACAACAATATGATTAGATAAAGAATGAGAGAAAGAGTTCAAGCAAACGTAGAAAGATAACGGAGAATGGGAAAGAAAGGAGGAGGTGGTGAGAGAGGGGGAGGGGGAGAGAGGGAGAGAGAGAGAGGGTAGAAAGAGAGATAATGATATGAGTAAAAGACCGAGAAAGCTCGAGGGGAGAATGAGATAGAGAGAGAGAGATACAGAAATAGATAAAGTGGCATAAAGATCATCAGTTCACTTGCCAAAGGTCCTATCAGCTTCCCTGTCACATCCCCTTATCTTCCAGCTAACTTGATACCCAGCGTTTTGTGTCAGACGTCTTGACCTGACTGCTTGGGGCACGTTAGATGTAGAGTAATTAATTAATGGTGTAGGACGATGATAAGAAGAGATACGTAACCGAACCGCCCGAGTAGCTACCGAGCTCGTGTCGAGTGCCTGCCGAGATCATGCCGAGGCCCCTCCCGAGTTCACGCCGAGTACGTGCCGAGATAGACTATTTGAGGAAATACCCAGACCGAGGGTATTAGCAGGCATACGATCATGTCCTACCAGATCGACCTTAATTTCAAAACGATGTTGACGTGCGAGTAGTAATCAATATTAGTTCAATTTATTTTAACATTGAGAACAAATTTGTTTTCAATGAATTGGGTTGACAGACAATTAAATAATTGAGTGAAATTTCAAGATAGGGTTCATTTTTGCACTACCTTGCCGAGGCATTGGCTTCAAACTATTGTTCTATTTTCATAGCTTATTCTTTCGTTGATGATTGACGCAACTACACATTCCATGAACGTACGAAATCTTGAAATTGTATCCAATACCACCACCATGTGTAAATTTTTACTACATTAAAATAGACAAATAACGACTCAATTCTTCATTATAAACGTAGTAGGTAAAAGAAAAGGGGAAAGCTGTTATCTTGTTTAGATCGAAACTTATCCTTCCGTTAGCATCCGCTACGAGAACTGTAGATTGCTTGCCGTTCGGTTTAATACGAAATATATTCCTACTGATCTTGCGAACAATGATTACAGTAAAAAAATGTCTTATGAAGCATAAATATATTATGATATTGCCAATTTGCCGAGTGTGTAATGTGTAAGGAGCAGCTCGCAAGGAAATCAAAGGTGACTCCACTTTCCGATGTAACCCTCAAAGTTTAGACACGTTGAATGATGACTCTTAGATTGCAACCGGTATGCGCTTACTTCCCTTTGAGGGATACATTTCCAGCAGGCTCAGCACTTCCTATCCTGCCTCTCCTCACCTATCTTCCAGACTTTGAAGATTATTGTCTGGACACCATTAGTTCAAAATGTCAGGTCATCTTGCGTAGAGCTAAAATTGTGACGATCGACCGCATACATCTTGAAATCTGATAGAAAACATAAACATATTTGACGCTTTTAGACTGAATATACCGAGGTTTCAGAGATTTCATTTATGTGCGTGTGTGTGTGTGTGGGGGGGGGGGGGGTCCGAAAATTTGGTGTGAAATGGCTCTTCCAAAATATGATTTCCTACGTTCTTACCTTTCTAGCCTCAGCATCACCGCTAAACACATGGCTCCCAGTCCCAGGTCTCTCTCTGGCGGAACTTCTGAAACATGTGTAACCTTGTGATCAGCATGCAGATGTTAAACCTACCTTCTCCGTTCAGTCGCTGATTACATGTCTGTTGCCTGCAGGCATAGACTGTGTGACCGATAGTGAAGGGTACCCCCTCCCCCCGTCCTCCCACATGACGCCATCTCGCCCTTGTTATACCATAACCCGAATCCGCCTCATTGAAGGTTTTGGTCACGGGAAATCATACCAAATCTATTTAACATTAAATGGCATGTTCAACCTTTTTCCTTTGAGGAATTTTTAGTGGCTTTTTGTATTTACCCGTTTGCAGATTAAACATCTGTTGGAGATTAGATGTATTCATGGGAGTCGGAGATACACCAACATCTTATTATACCATTCTGTATAAGTTTTAAGTATTCGCAATCAAACAATCTCGGTCATAAGGCTTTTACTTTTTTTCTTTTCGATTTGAACTGAATTATTTTGTGTGTCATCTACTTCGATTATGAAACCCTTTTTGCAGTAGCAACAATTTGCCTTGCTGTAGATAATACTGGCGCTTCTGTCGTTTTTGCCCACTTTCATTTCTATATTCTAAATTTTCCTCTCCTTGCTTTCAAAAGTAGAAGGAATTACTTGAAATGCTTGAATCTAGAAGTTAGCAATGAATCCTTGGTAAGCAGGGGCTGCTTTAACATTTCTCCGTTTCTTCGTCTTGAAGAGAAGGTCACATCAAGGAGAAGCTGACAAACATAGTCTAGGAATTTTCCCTTTGATCACATCATAACATTTCCTCTCCCATGTTTGCACCTTGCATTAATTTGATTAGCAATGATTGAAGAAAGGGGGAGGAAGTGGGCGTTTGACAAGTTTGTGTTGTTCTTTTGTGATTGAGTATAGCTTGGAGATTTATTGCGATTTGTAACTTTGAAACTGGGGAGATTTGGAACATTTTCGCCGGAGAATTGTTTTTTTATTTAGCCCATGTTGGTGCACCACAGGAATATTGTGGCTTAAAATGTAAAAGCAGCGGAATTGATGGATTTTCAACAAAAAAGGGCAAACTGGAAATTAATACATTTGAGATTGTACGACGTAACCCCCTTTACAAAAAAAAAAGTTTCATTTCCGTATAAACAAGGACAAGTTTTGTTTTTGAAAAAAGGCAATTTTGCCCTCCATTTTGGATCATTGACATAACTCTTTACCAAGTCCAACATTGTACATTGTATGTTAAACAGAACTCGGTTAACAATACACACTTAACCCATGAAGTCCCGCTTTACCTATTTTTAGACGACTTGAAAATGTTGACCAAGGCAATGATATCGAAGCGAAGAATCTGGTATATTTTCATTTGTGTGGATTTTAGGTAGGTTAAGATTCGTTGAGATTCACGGTCTAAAACTCTGTCAACATCTTTGAAGGGAGTTGGGGGGGGGGGGGGTTAAGAAGGGCACTTTTAATAATGGGTTGTTGGAAGGGTCAAGTACGTGGACGTCACATTTTGCTGTCTAATGGTCCCCTCTCTTCATTGCCTGTCAGAAGGCAGGTAATTGTCTTGAGATTATTGGCGTATCTCGCCCAGGATCACCTCTTGAAGGAAGCTCACCACTTTGGGATTCTCCAGAGGGAGGGCTGTTTATTGATGGTGACGCTGTCATTCAATGGATCGCTGCCAGGCGGACGGGAGGAGATGGATGTGCCAAATATGTTACACCCCCCCCCCCTCTCCCGTACGACACTCTTTACATCGATTTTCTCCATGCTATTGAGTTGATGCCTAAATGTCATTCGTTTGCCTTTCATTCTAAATGTTCGTGTAATGAATGTAATACAAAACTGCTCAATCTGGAACTCATACTTTATGAACTTTCGAAGAGAATTTTCAAATGAAGTCACGTTTCGCGTACTTTATTTCTTGCGAATCTGTAGCTCAGAAGCTTTACAAAATTACCATCTTTGTAAACTGTTTGCTATTCTATTTCCGAATGATGCTCTGAAACCAATACGAATTGAAGTTCCTTGGCAATGAGGGAGCCCAGATTTAAATTCCTCATGTTCAAGCCTAAGACAATGTTGGATAGAGTTCGCGTATTTGTCCTGCGAAGCACGTGACCTTCTTCTGACATGCACGGTCGTTGTGGATACTTCAAAATGGCGCCTGCTTAACGGCGCCACGTTTGACTGAGAATTATGCCATCAACTTTGTTGTGGCATTTACAAAAGCGACCTCCTTATTCAGAGAGCACAAATGAAAGTGTTATCTCTTAAACATGAACGAGACTTTTTCTGCTGTTTTCTGTGTATTGACTGATATTTCGCCTACTACTTTCATCCAAACAATACGAATGCATGAGAGACAGGAACATCAATAATACATGAACAGTAGATGCGGTTACAATCTTACTTAGCATACATTCTTGTTGAACTAGCATATTTATTCATATGTCAATAAGATACACATCCATATATTCATCATGTTAGATACTGTCAGATACATATTTTGTTTAGCTTTTTATGTTTATACTGCAGAACTGGTTGGTACTGGTGTAAAACTATGAAATTCGATTTGACCACGTTTTACATTATCACACACAACTTCACTTTAATATGTTTGAACACGTACATGTAGTTTAATCCAGTCACTGGCAGAAACACTTAATCTAATTTTTTTTAATTTTTTATTCTACCTGTTTTTTCCATTCTAGCTCCATAGAAGTGAAGTGAGTTAATACTTATTAAATCATGTCGTGTTTTGTGAACGTCGCGTGCTGTTTTTTCTTTTATTTTCCTTTGTTTATTTTCTTATGATTCAATTATTTTTGCGGCTTCTTGTCAGCCTCGGAGCTTGCTTTTCTGTTTTGCAGCCGTTGATCGACACTGGTTAAATATTTTCTTCCATTGCCAAGTTTCTGTTTTTTGCAAGCTCATTTGTCAGACATCGTGTGTTTTTTCGTTGATTCAACACTTTTGCTGGTCTAGACAGCCGTTTCGCTTTCATGACATTTATTGTGTTTTCTTATAATTTTATTTTCATTTCATTTTGTTTCACTTCGTTTCCGCTCACAGTCACAATCATCCACATGCTTCTTGTCAAATGTTTCGCATTATTTGTCACAATTGTGTCACGTTGTTTCAAACAACAGTCAAATGTGGTTTTAACATTAGATTAACATTGGTGTGTATATGTCAGTCAAGGAAATAATAAGATATTTCTACATTCTGCTAGCTTCATTTTGATTTCATGTCTTTATCATTTTGAATGTCGGTATGTCGTAGTCATAATTTATGTTCTACATCAGATGCTTTAACGACTCTTTATGTTATCGAATCACAAGACATCAGTATACTGCTTGTACTTTCTTCGCAAGTACTTTACTGTGAACACATAGTTTATATGACCAAACGTATAGAAAATAATTGTCTGTGAAGAGAGCAAAAACATATTTATCTGTAGCAAAATCACGAGTTGATAAGGTGCCGCCTGTGGCGTTGAACGAAACCCATATCCTATTTCGTTTTGGCGGGAAAAATTTCAATTGGGCGTCATGCCGCCTCCTTCCGTTGCTATGGAAACGTTTACTTTGGTGTCATATTTGCTCTAGCCTTGTGATCTATCTTGTGTTGAATAATGTCGCTTGGTTTTTTTATGATCTGTTCATGTCAGCGTGTAGCCTAACAGCTTTTAATAACAGTTTCTTGTTTTCAGTTTTCTTCTTGTTGTAACAAAGCAGTATGTCATTTAATTTGAATTCATTTGAATGTCTGTTTTCTTTTAAATTTTTTCTTCAAAAGTAATCCAATTTAGGAATCCATTTCAGTTTTATTGATGTTATTTGCTATCATACTTTGTGATTCTTTGTAATGATGTGCATACGTTCTTTGAGGTTATTGCTTTTACTTTATTCAGTTTTTGAAAAACCTGTTGTCTGCAGTTTACTTTAGAATGCACTATTTAAATTGTTTTACACAACTGTGTCACTAAAATACAGTTATACACAATACATTCATTTCCTGGTTTTTACTTTCGTCTGAAAGAATTTACTCTTGATTTTATTTGGAAATATTTTTGAAATCCTCTCGTGTTTGTAATTGAGTCCCTATTTCGTTAAATGCTCGATATTTGCCACTAATATTTTATTGCAGTATGTTTAATACTTTACCTTTCTCTTTTGTGCATGCTGTGTGGTGTTTTGGAAAACTATCGTTTATTTTCATTTTGTCTTATCCTCTTGTATCCATTTCTTTTTCTTCTCTTCAAAAGGTGGAATTTCTTCAGCGCAAATTTGCGCAAGAGTCGGATGCAAAATCCCAAGAAATTAAAGAGAAGGTTGGTCGATGCATGCTGGGATACGAATTTGTCATCCTCGTACTGAGCATGCGCCATCCCATTTAGATTTTAGAGAGATTGTTACCCTTTTCTCATCCCTAGCAGCTCGTGTCCTGCTTGGACCCTACCACGTGAAAAACTAACCATGTCAAAATATTTTGTTGTAGCAGTGCATCTGAGAATTAATATTTGAAAACGTAATTTTCCTCACATTTTGATAAGTGCATGTTGACATTTTTTTTAGCAAACCTGAATGTCAGTTTATTAACGATTCATAGTAGATAGACGGTAGAGTACTAACTTATTCATTGTATAATTATAATGGAGAGCTGTAAGCTGCATCGATAAAGTGGCTGCCTGACTCTGTTGAAATATGTGGCAAAACTATTGGAAGTAATGTGAATGTAAATCTTTCTGATAATGGTACTGCTACGTTTTTGGATTATAAGCATCATCTCGCTTTAACTGAACTGTTATTATGGCACTCAAAACACTCCAGGAATGTCTTCCGGGGCATCCATCATTTTCTGCACCCTTGTCAAGAGTGCTTGGCAGGTATAGACTATTACCTCACCCACAGAAATGAGTACTTAAGCTGGGATTCGAATGTGGAACAATGTTACAGTGACAGATAAACACTACACCTTATACCCTTTCACCAAGATATGAAGACTAGACAATTTTTCAAATAAAATAACTTTATAATATGTTAGATGATGGCAGATTTAATCCCCAAAGGCAGTAAGAGTGCAACTATAACAGTGACAAATACTAATAGGCTGCAGTTGTAATAGCGGAAAGTGTTTCCAGCAGTGTTTTTCATAATGAGGCATGCAAATACTAATCATCATATATTCGTATTCTTGTACTTGTGAAAAGAAATAACATGCACTTACTTTGAAAGATTAAACTTCACGAATTAAAATAGCATTTCGTCACAGTCATCATCTGAGGTTATTAGTATAGATTTTTGTTTTCATGTTCATATTCAATTTTAGTTTACAGATCAGGAAGCTAGTATTTTTTTAAACAAGAAAGTAAAGAATTACAACTAATAACCATATAAATAGTATATAGTATAGCTAAAAGATATATTCATAATTTAAGTCGGTCGCATGTGTCATCATAATATTTATTTATGTTTACTTTTTACATCATAAATTATATACCACTGAGCATTGAAATTAGAACACATTTTAAGAATTAAAAGAATAACGAGAAATATGGTGAGATTTTCGAGGAAATCGGTAATTCGAAACACAATTGTTTTAAATTCTAAATTGTACAACAGGTATAACAAGTGGGGAATGTGAATAATTATATTATGTTGTACTTGAAGCTACGATACAGGAGTAAGTGTACTTATTACTTTAGTGATATAATACCCATGGCAAAATACAAAACAAAATGATACAATCATCAAATCCAAAGAACAATATGGTGATGGTCAACTTATAAGCTCTGAACTTTCATTAAAAACTGGGTTAAATGAAATTCCGGTCAAACAAAATGTACAACATTGAAACATAAGAAGCGTTCTTTGCTATCTACTAGCACATCTAAATCCAGGTTGATCCATTTTTAATCCATAATTTCCTTTTGAGTACCACTACCCAGTGAACAAGGCCGGATTTTATTTACGTAACGATGATGAATTTTGTTGAAATAATCAGCCACTAACGATTACAATATTCAAATGGATAGTTTCCGCTCGATATCTTCTCTTCTCTCTAAGATTGTATTCCGGGTCGAGAATGAATACTTTGGGTATTACTGACTCAATTGAAAGTTAAAACGTGAATCATTGTTGCGCAAATTAGTAAGACGAGAAAATAAAATCATTTTGATACGGTGACAGCTAATATGTTGTATTTCAATTTTGGTTTCAACGTTAACGTAGTTTATTCTCTAAATGTATGGGAGATGAAATACAATTTTAGGGAGTCATGTTGGGGACCACTTCGTTTGGAATCGAAATCCACTCTTAAAATAGTGAAATCCACTCTCGAGATAGTGATTTAACCACTACTTTGGAGTTTTTCCTGTATATTTGGATTAGAGTCAACTCCAAAGAAAGCGATCCTAATAAGATTCCTACAAGTATTTTCTGAAAACTCTCGTTTGATCTCCAACAAAAATAATTTGGTATTTTGTTGCCCTTGCTTAATTTGAAATATAATTACGCTGTTTTGATTCACTGTAATGTGCATGTGCTAATGTAGATTTATTTCCATGGAGAATGCATTCCCGCTAACCCATCGCTTTTTCCTCGTGAATTTGTGTTCACTTTTGTTTTATTTCAACACTAAACTAACAAACATTTGTCTTCTTTCCCCCCAGATAGTTTAGGAAGAAGCATCTTGGTCAAACAGAATCATCCTATTATTTTCTCATATGATCATGACGATTAATAATGCATACATCATGTTTTCTTTTCTTTAGCTAACACTTGCTGTATTCCTCCGAATTACCGTACAGATTATAATGTTTTCATTTTTTAGGGGGAGTTATGTACGTATCTCAATGGGATATGGTAACTTTGATCAATAGTATTCGGTAGATCATCATTTGTGATGACAGAAAGTCTGATTAAGCTAAATTTTTGGTATGCGGTAAAACATAAGTAAAGCATAATTCATTTTATTTTAATCAAAAAGGGAAATTGATTTTCACTCATATCGTAACATTTATTTTAGAAAAAGTTTACTGACATAGGAAAAAATATATTTTGCCTAAAATATGTTACCTATCCTTTTTTGTATGTAGGCCTATGATGTAAAAGCTCCACTTTCCTCTTATTCTGTCCACATATGCATTGAATAATAAGCATAGATAAAACATAAGAAATCAGACCAAAGAACACAAATTACGCATTGTAGTTACAACGATGAGAATCTATTAATCGTTATGACATTTTTTGTGTTCTGGAATAACATTATGTTTTGCTTGTTTGTCAATTTGTGTTTTGTTTTAGAATTTTAGTTTTTTGTTATATGTTTGCTTGTTTGTTTTTAAATATAAACAGACAAATTAAACCTTGTAAATGATATTTTTCAGGCTCGTCTTCTCCGATCGACAGCGTCTTCCGATTCGTCGTTCGAGTACGACATCTCGGCCCTGCTCAACGACCTCCAGGAGTCGACGGAACGAGAGCGCGACCTCCAGAACCAGCTTCAGCTCGTCGAAGAGGAGAGTGACGTCATCCGCAAAGACCTCAATGAAGTGGAGCAGGAGAAGGAGGCTCTGGAGTTCGAGCTGGAGCGCTTCAAGATGCGCTTCGGGACCCTGGAGGAGCCGAAGAGAGCGGCGGACAGCAGCAAGGGCGTGGGCTCGGAGAAGGAGGCGGAGTTGAGGCTCCAGCTGATGCTGGCCGAGCAGGAGGCGACGGTGATGAGGAGGAAATTGGTGGAGCTGGATGCCAAGAACGAGGAGCTGGAAGGAGCTCTGGCCAGACTGTCTGAACGGCTCCCGGATGATGACGATACAGGTATTATTACTGAATCTTTATGATCTCCGTACAAATTTTACCAGGCCATGTATACAACATCAACCAAGCTAAAGAGATTTGGAAACATCCAACTCCTGTCACCTTCATTACGCAAAAACAACGGTCATGTTCATTTTGTATTAGGATACATATTGATCTCGATGTGAACAAAAGACAAAATTAAAAGTAGATGTCCACGGTTTCTGAGGTATAAGCTCTTTGAACAAGCTGAAGATATTGACCTGGGCTAAGAGTATAATTGCTATCATCTGAATGACAGGGTAAAGATGGATCCTCAATAACAAGCAGTCAAGAGATGGCGCTAGTTCGTATCTTTTTATCATCAGTTCTGTTGCACATAAACTAAACATTTTTTCATCTGAATTATTAATTGTACTAAGTAAATTTGTTTTGATAGTGCTGGTTGGGACTAGCAAATAATTTTAGATATTCATTTTGTTTATTATAAGTAATTAATTACCAGGTGAATTACCAAGTAGGCATTTTAAATCGGTGAATGATAATGAGAAACACTAGACATTGGTCTCTTTACTAGTTCCTATTTGAAGGATTACTATTAGATTATTAATTATCAGACCTTTCTGTCTGCGTCATAGTTTGAATAGTAGGCATGCTTTTGAATTGTTTTCTATATTTTATTATTCCATTCATTCGTTTTATTCGTTTTATTATTTCATCCTGCAATTTTCCGTTATCGTCGATCTATCCGTTGATCCTCTAATATTAATACGTCCCCTGGTTAAACATATCATTCATTTATCAATCCATTCGGTCACTTCTGTCATGTACTCATCTACTTTTTCTCAAATTCATTCACCGATTCAATCGCTCCTTCTCACATGTCTAATCGTCTTCTTCCATGTTCTTATTCTTCAACTCACACCTTCATTTATCAATCCATCATTAATCGATTCACCCTTTCAACCATGCAGCCCCACTACCTCAGCGCCAGGGACCGGTCGGCGAGGAAGCCGGGCCCAAGACCACCTCCCATTCCGAGAGCGGCAACAACGCCGAGGTCGAGGCCCTTCGGCGGCACGTCGAGGAGCTCATGCAGGAGAACGACGGTCTCCGCACCAAGGTCGAGATGCTGGACGAGGTCGATGCCGAGTACCGAATCAACCCCGACGAGCATATACGAGGGGAACCGGAGCTCCGAGCAAAGCTTCATCAAGCCGAGCGAGCCATCACGACGTTGAAGAAACGATTGATCGAGAGTGAGTTTCTATGATTTAATTATTGGGCCAATACATTAACGATTAGAAAATTAACAGCAGTTGCTAGCTTCATCTACCGTGTTGCATATTTTTATTTCAATTATTGATTGTAGAATTGATCAAGGATTGCGTTACTGATCCAGGTTAGCACAGAAAAGAGGTACCCCAATAAGGAACATGGGAGCAAATTTTCCCCTTGGAGGGCTTGTAGTGCCCTTTTGCACCCCCCCCCCCCCCCCACCACAAAAAAAGGATAAACACTGACATTTGTTCAGGATTTTACAGTACCATATATAAAATATTGCCCAGTGATTCTACGTCCCATTCTTATAAGATGAGTGTAAAGCATGTTTAATTTCTTTCTTTCAATGATAAATGTGTCAGCAAACAAGTATGAATAAAATATTTAAAGTACGATCACTCGTTTCTGTTGTAGGTGAGTACGAGGGCAGGTCCCTTCAAATGGAGGCTGAATCACTGCGGAAGCTCGCCCACATATCTGGTGCTGAGGGCGGTGGAGGAGGACACGGCAAACACCGAGGGAAATCACTGGAAACGAAACTCAGGGCTCAGGTCTCTCTGCTCAACACTGAGGCAGACGCCATGCGTCGTCAGATCGTCACCTTGGAAATTCAGAATGAACAACTCCAGGATGAACTGGAGAAGCAGATGCAAACCAACGCGACGGCCGCAGCGACGTCCCCGAATGCTGACAGCGATCGAGAACGGTTGGAGGCCTTGCAGCAGAAGATCGCGCAGCTCGAGGAAGAACTAGGTGCGTATTACGCTAGAGAATCCGCCCCGGTGGATCCGATGTCCCCACGAGTGGAGCGCAAGCCGCCACTAGGGGGTAATAGTAAGAGTCCGGGAGTAGAGTTCCCGGTGTCACCCCTGGCCCTCTCCCCTCGGCCGGAGGGAAAGATACTCCTAGAGGTTGGGGATAAAGGGAAGGGTGGTCCTGAAGCTCCTGTCTCTCCCGTCTCGCCTGGTTCAGGAGGGAAGCATTTCCTTGGTGCTGGAGGCAAGTCCAAGGCTATCGATGATCCGAAAAGCCCGGTCTCGCCCCGTACCGAGGGAAAGCCAAACTTTGGTGTAGCAGGCAAGACGAAGGAGCCAGAAGCTAATCTTACGTTGAAGATAGAACCGTTAGGTGTACCTAAATGTGATAATCCCGTGTCTCAACGGGAGAAGATACCTTTGATGAGGGCAGATACCCCTTTCTCTGGTGACCTTCCCGAAAACCCTCTAAAATCAAAATTCCCGAACAAGCTAGCAACAAATAAGAAAGGGCTTTCAAATGTACAGGAAGGCAAGACTATTGGAACGCCCAAATCACCAATCCCAGGAAAGGGTGGAGGAAATTGGAAACCAGAGGTCCCAAAGGGTTCGGCTCTAAGCGGTAAGAAGAATAACGAAACGGAACAATATGGGCACGGTGGCAAAGAATTTGCCTGTACGTATCTTCCAAAAAACAATGGCGCACAGCCATTCCGGATGAAAGGTAACACTCCTAAGCCACCTTCTGAACATAAGAATGATAGTAAGATAGAACTTGTATCGCCTGAAAAAATCGACGAAACAAGTAAAAGTCAAGATAAAGTAGACATTAAGAAATCCGGCGGAACGGATTCCGCATCAAAGGTAGGAAAAGGTTCAGAAGACAAGGGCAGCGAGTCTGAATCTGAAGAACCCTTTGTGTCCGTGTCTGCGAGGCGAACCATGTGGAAGGGATTAGTTCAAAAGCACAAGTTCCAAACTGGGGTCAAACAGGGAATGGGTCCGGGAAAAAAGAAACCACAGATACAATTACCACCGAGGGTATCTGCAGAAAAGGGTAATGGTGAGGAAACGACTAACAAATCAGGAACTAGTCAAACGTCTCCAGCTTCCCCAAATACGAAGAATTCGGCGAATTTAGCGTTGAATGTACCGGGAACTACTACTAGTCCCGCGGGAAAAGGAGACAATACAGTTTCGGGAAAACCGAAATCTCCTTCCAGTCCGGGCCAAAATCCATTCGGACAAGGTCCATTTGGGCAAAAACCAAAGAAATCTCCTGGGGCACAGAGGTTATGGTAGAATTAGGAAGTTGGTAATTTTGTTAGATAGGTTTTGTCGAGATATAGATACTTCGTCTTGCTTTTTATTTGCATCGATGGTAATCTCGTTTTATCTGAATATTCACAGATGAGAGCCTTTTAATGCAATTTGCATTTTAAAGTATTTTATAGTATTTTTCTTGCTGCTGATTCTGTTCTGCCGAGAGTATCCATATAAATTTGTATGGAAATATTTTAATGTGGAAGTACCATTTCGCAGAAAAATGCATAGATGTTTAAGTATGCTGTAATACACCCATTCACGAAGCAGTAGAGGCCTTGTATACGTCAACAAATACATGCAAAATGAGTGGCAAGAGTATTTTTCGATTTCTTCCCCCTCATCACCACATATTATATCTACTGTAATCTTTTCATACTTCTATTTACTCAGCCTCAAAATAGTCAACCAAGGTAACCAAGGGTGTACCGACTCAAATTAATTTGTTGTGCCTTAATCGTTAATCTTGCTTTTGATATAATCGTCACTGAGACTTATTTTCACTAATGAAAGTTTGCTTTTCAAATTCTGTTGTTTAATTCTGATATGAACCAGAAAGACTTAAACTCTGTCAAAACACATGAGTTGAAATCCTTCTGACTCTCAGTAAACCAACTATGTAAAATGTTGCTGATATTCAACGAGATAATTGTACCATTACCTCTATACAAACTACCATTGGTTTGGAAAAGAGTATTGTGAGGAATTCTAACAGTCACGTGTGATTCATGCTCAAATGTGATTGGTTTAATTTGACCTTTCCTAGACAAACTCGATTTACGAACTAACTGTAAATTGTGTCCTTTATCGAAGGATGCCAATTTGATTTCTGAATAATTTCAATGTTTGTAATGACCTTTTAACGTGCGATTACATTAGTTTTGTCACTATTAAGATTGAATGATTTGTGATGATCTATGAGAAGCAGTACTATATTTACTGCACATTCTGCGTACTATAACTGAATGGATTGCTTAGTTTTGTTGTTTCATTAAAGGTTTGTTACTTATACAATTTTCCCGGGGGAGTTAATAAGTAACAGAGTTGATCAGTTTACTTTTGAAGAAGATATTTCAGACGGTAACATGTACAGGTCAGTTGAAGGTCTGTGACTGACAATTTGTTTTTGTAGTGGTACTACGTTTCAGGTAGTAATAGCGATTTATAGATCGTTACGTTAGAAATTGTAATATACAACAAAGTTTAAAAACATATGCATGATTACAGTAATTTTCTCATTTATTATTCGACTTTATTTTCTATGTTTTATGATACCTTTATGATGAAAAGGGAAAGGATTTATCTGCGTTTCGTACAAGGGAGAACAATATTTTCTTTAGGCATTGCCTTTTAGATGAGTATCAAAATGTATTTGTTTCTAAGGCTATAATATAGACTCTTCTTAGAGGTTTGATTGTAGTTAGCATAAACTTTTTGCTGATTTGATTAATTTGGAAGTTTATCTTCTGTTTCTACTGAAACGTTATTGGGGTTTTCTTTTTGCAGTGCAATTGCATAGTGATAATAACTTGTGTGCCCTCTAGACAGTTTTATCTTTATACCAAAAAGAAGTAAGTGAGAAATATAGGTTTATTTAAAAACATGGCTTTGATTTTATATTTCAATGCGACTTTGTTTCTAATAAGTTTTAAGAATGTACAAGATTTTATGAGTACTCCACGAATGCAAGTTGTTGCATTACGATAGGTACTGTTAAGATACATGTGCTTAAGTCAATATTGTATTTCAGAATGTTTATTATATTTATCATAATTTATGCAATATCTTTATGCAATATCGCTCTACAATGGTGCCTGTAAAGTAATAAATATATGTCTTTAACTTAACGCTACTTTATGTTCTGACCGCTTTATCTGTCAAAAGAAAAAGTGAAGTTTTAGTTTCATTAGATAAGTCTTTAGCTTGAATCAGTGTTTCGTGGAAACTTATATTACAGTTTCATGAAAATGTTTCTTTGAATTGAAAAGCAAACCATGCAAAATCTGACAAGAAATGTAAAGTAACAGAGGAGAACTATGTAAATAGAATTAATATTTAAGAACATGACTGATATACACTGTATGAATACACATTTTGGGGGAAGGGTTCGTTATGCAATTTACTGGCACACAATGTAGTGTGTGTGGAGTGGGAGGGGCGGGGAGAGGATCATGAGATAAGAAAGTCATTGTAAGATATTGACAAAGTATGTCCTGACCAAGTATTTAATGAAATACTATACAAGTACAATATAAATACAATTAAATACCCAAATAAGCAGTAGATAAATGAAATCGAGCAATATTACAACTATTATGATGATTAAAAGTTGGCTATCTCTGGCCTTGAGATAAGGTGCGTGATAAGAATATAAACAGCGCCACCAAGCGTTGTAACTAAGGACAATTTAGACGCTGGTGGTAAACCTACCCTTTCAAAATTCTCCAAGAATTTCCCATCATGCTTTGCGATGCCTACGGCTGCGGAGACGTGATTGGTCGTTAAATACAATTGGCTAATTAGCCTGGAGGGTCACGTGACAGTGTAAATGAATCTGTCGGTGATGGTATCTGTTTTTCATCTGTTGACTCTTATAGTTCATGTACAGGGTGCCTCGTAGGAAATGTTACCAGTGTTGTGGAGTGGTAAATGCAACGTCTCAAGCAAATAACAATGTTAGAAATTAAATACATTGAACAATTGATTATGTAACAATGGCTTTGCACACAGATTAATTCTAGAAGCATTGCAAGATTACCATAAGTGTACTTTTATTAATTGATGTGTTATTAAACTGTTGTACATGCTAATTTAGTGAAAGTGGCTCTTTTGGTGAGTCAAGGATGTAATGTGAATATAGATTATTCTCTTTGTTTAATGTATACATGACTTGTATCAAGGTGTTTTTTTTTTAAATTTAGTATCTTTTAATGATTTATTTATTATTTGTTTAAATATGTCTGTGTGATGTTAAATTATTACACTTTTTTAGACTGAATATTGTCCCAAGTATTTCGAGGCGCATAATTACTGGAGAGCAACTATTCAAAATGAAATCGATAATTGTACATGATCTATGTTTTACAACGTCATATTTTTTTATGAGACACTGTGTACACCCGATCGACTTGCCCAAAGGAAACGTAGCTGTTTATAAGTGATGATAAGATATCCATTCAGCTCTTCGCTATGTGAAGCCCGCCGAACTTGGCAGTTGTTACACGCATTCCCCGAACGTATCCATGCCCCTCCTCCATCCGTCCTCTTTCCACGCGTCGCCTGTTTACTTTCAACATTTCTCACCAAACAACCCGGGGCGAGACTAATCAGTTTCTTCAGACACTTTCAGTGGGCGGTACCATTTTGGAGGTTGTGCGCCCTCTGTTCCCCCGTAGCTTCACTGGGGCGACTCCAACCAATTAACATCTTCCAGCGAATGCATAATGATACTGATTACATACTCATCATGAGATAAAAGTGTGAAAGGGGTGAAAAGGGCCAATTGCTTTCCTGTCTTCAGTGCAAAGAAGTTGTTTTTATCGTAATGTGGATAGTGCTTCCACATCTTAGGAAGATGTATTTATGTAAAGTGTCATGTAGAAATTGTGAACTATCTAGATGATAGATTTTGAAGAAACACTGTCTTGCGAATATGTATAAGTACGGTGTTTTGCTGTTCCTATCACTCTATTTCAGGTCATTGTTATCAATGGGAATCGTTATCAATGAGAACACTTCTTTAATTCCACGTCACTGTTTTAGTGGTGGCTTGGTCTTCTGATGTGAAATGTCACTCCTGTCCAAGTTCACTCTTATCACACTCCATCTGGAGTTGTAATCAAATACCAAACAGTGAATTAGATCGGGTCGCAATGGATCAATGCCATATGGTTATAGGACTATGGTTAGAACATGATCTTATTCTTATATGATCTTATATGATATATTACACGCACGTGTATGCTTCGTTAACCGTTAGGTAGCTAATAGGGAGCAATTGTTTGGCTAATACTGAGATCTGTCATCGCATAATCCCCTGCAACTGCTCTGCTTTCATTGTTTTGGAATTGCTAAGGTCAAAGAATTTGTCTCATGTGATATTTTCAAAATCTTCTTCTTCTCTTTCTTCTCAGTCGTTTTCTTTACTGGCTTCTTTGAGCTAGTATTTTACCGATTTGCTATAAAAAAATAAAAAAAACTTTACTTCAGAAAAAAAACTCGATTCATTCATTGGCATTTTACATTCCCATTCCACTTTTTTCCATTTCGTTTCCCTTTGTATACAGCAAACAGGATATTTACCTACTTATTTATGGTATTGTATATGCTGATATTTCTAGTTGTATATTGCTATAAAGTCAAGCTGTAAAGCAAATGTGCGTTGATTAATCCGAAGCTGGTTTAATATCGGGATGAGAGCCAAAAGTGCATTAATTCTTTGTAAAAGTATGTTTTAATTCCCTTAGACTGTAGTGATGTATTCATCAAAATTGTAGCTATAACATAATGATGCCGATATGGAAAGTGTCGCAGTCCAAGAGAATGTTTCGTTCGCATTCTGCAGACTGTCTTGCCAGCGGAACATACACGTACATTCTCGACCTTACCTACTTTTGAGGTCTATGCCTGTAATGATGTAATTAGGCGAATTTCGACGGCCACAATCAACATACAAGCAATTGGCCTTCTGGTTCAACTATGATGTCAGCAGCGATAATTTGACATGTGCTATCTCGGTTGGCATGCCTCCGCGTGGAGCATTACATCCTGTAGGCGTATAATAGGGAAGGGAGGGGGATGCTGGGCAGGGTAAGAGACGGGCTGTGGAGGATGGTGGGGGAGGGCGCGTAGAGAGGCTGGGAGGAGATGGAGGGAGGGGATGAGGATGGGGGGAAATGAGGATGGAGGAGAAGAAAAAAAAGAAAACGATGAGGAGACAAAAACAATAACGATTAATTAGGAGAATACGAGGAGGAGGAGAAAGAAGATGACGCAGAATGAGAAGAAGAAGAAGAAGAAGAAGAAGAAGAAGAAGAAGAAGAAGAAGAGAAAGAAGAAGATGAAGAAATGAAGAAAAAGAAGAATAAATGAAGAAGAAGCCTTTTATCTTTATTTATTCATTTCCAATATAATCGGGTGGAAAAACCAAGCGTTGGTTTGAAGAAGGCTTGCCGAAGAAGGAATAGAAAAAGGAGGAAGAGAAAAAGAAGAAACATAGAAATAACAAGCAAAAATGTTTTGGTGAAATATCAAAGGAGTGCTGTCTTTGATGAAAAGAAATAAAAGACTGTCACAATCCTAACTTCTCTCTCTCAGCTGTACGGTATCCATAAATACCAGTCTTAAGGAAGATAGTTATGGGGATGATGTTGAGGGATGAGGAAAGCATCACTCCTTCTCTAATTTAGATAGATTATGTACATCTGGCGAGAACATCGTGACCTCCGAATAGTCTTAGAGTATTAACTCTTGTTGTTAGAATGTCTAGAACTAGACATCATAGCTCGAATTAACCACCACTCTTTAATTTGCCCAGGCCATGTCATATCTATTACGATATTAGCACGGACCCTGTACATTTTTCCTTCTTAGCTCGGGTCATTTTTAGCCTCTTATATGTTATAAATGCAAAGGATATAAAATAATGTATGTAAGGCATGGAAACAAGTTTGGTTTTTCAAACTAGTCCACAGGATAGGAAATGTCTTCTTCAGAGAGGCATGTTCATGAATGAAACAGTTGTACCGTAATACCTTGACGCCATAGGGAATACTATAAGTTGCTTCATTTCTTCATTTCAACTGTATGTTTGCTACCATGTTACATATAAATGTATCCTGCTGGGTATAATCATGCCATGTGAATGGGAGATTGTTTCGTGTGGTAAGATTAAACAGTTTGTAAAAGTATTTCTACTTGCCTTTGCGATTCGTCCGAATTGATACTTCTGCAAAGATGTGTTGAAGACAAAAATTGATAAAAGAGTACATAATTTGGGTTTTCTATATAACCGACTTCAAACACATTTGTTTTGAACATCCTTGCAGAAATGTGTCTTAATAAATCACATCCTCTTTCAAATTATGAGACAATTTAAGTGAAATGTTGCCATCAAATTGTGGGGCTCCCGAAACTTTAGAGGGGCTTTAATTGACGGATTCGCAAAAATTAATAACTAAATCTTGGTTTTGGATAAACGGTGTCTTGAAAGCTGTTTGATATAAAACTATACCTCATAATAATTTTGTCTTTATAATTCAATTTGTTTTATCTGCTAGGCGATCTGTTGCTGGTGGTCAAGAGCAAAGATGTCACCCAGGAGCAGCAGGAGAAAGAGCTCCAGGCCTCCAAGAGGGAGTGCGGCCAGCTCCGCCGGGAGATGCTGGCCAAGGAGTCCATTCTTAAACAGCGCATCGGGGAGGAGGAGTCCATGAAAGAGGTGCTGGAGCAACAGCTCCGGATTGTTGAGGAGAGAGCAGATGCACTGCAGGTTGGTGGATTGAAGATGTTGGTAATGGGAATGTTGTTGTTGTTGGTGGTAGTGGTGGGGATGGTGATGATGATAGAGGTGGTGGGAGGTGGTGTTGGTGGTGATGGTGGTGGTTGTAGTGGTGGTGGTTGTGGTTAGGATGAGGATTTCAGGAGAGACGTGGAGAGAACAGACTCACTTCAGGTTGGTGGATTGAAGATGCTGATGATGGAGATGTTGTTGTTGTTGTTGGTGGTGGTGGTGGTGGTGGGGATGGTGATGATGATAGGGGTGGTGAGATGGTTGTAGTGGTGATGGTGGTGATGGTGCTTGTTGTTAGGATGATGGCCTTTTTGAGGATTTCAGGAGAGACGTGGAGAGCACAGACTCACTTCAGGTTGGTGATGGGGCTGGAGATTGTGATGGTGTTTGTGGTGATGGTTGAATTCTACCTTTGGCGATTCCTAGTAAACCAAAATATATATTTAATATGTTTAATTTCTCATTTGTCTTCCCATGTCTGATTTTTTTTCCTCTCCTTTTCCTAAATCAAGGATCACCTTCAAGACGAATGCAAGGGCGCCCCCTCGCAGAGTGAAGTGAAATGTGCGCCACCCGACGTTACGATATCAGACGAGACTACTACTACCTCAGAAGAAAAACCTTTGCATGCCAAACAAACTGATCAGGTAAATGCTTTATAATTTGGTCATTAATATCAACAGTGGCGTATTGTGGTTCTCTTGTAGGAGGAGAGGGGAGTCGGTGGTCTACCTGGATGAATAAGATATAACAGAAAAAGGCTATGGCCTATGCTAAGTTGTGGCCTATGCTAAGTTATGGGTCGGTGTCTCTCGTCCTCTTTTCACATAAATTCCTCTTCTCACTTGCTTTCTCAATTCCTTTCATTTCGCCATTCCATTTAAGGGGTACGCGTGCCCCAGTGTCGCCTCGGTACTGGTTGTTAGTACCCATTGTAGCTCAGCAAGTAGCCCACAACGGTTTCAATATCGTTGATGTCCTTACATTCTAAACTCTCTTGTAACAAACCGTCACCATGCATCTGTCCCTTTTTTTTTTTTTTTTTATCTTGATGGTGTTTAGTTGATAAAAGCACCTGTACTATTTGTGACGTTTCACAGTTGGCATATTATTTTTGTTCCAAATTAATTAGCTCCTCAAGAGAATGTTCTTCTTTGAAACATATCTAAATGAAGTGTGCAGATTATAAACTCGTATTTGATAAGGGCCCTTACTGTTTCAGGAATAATAAATGTTCTATGATATTTCACACGTTTCCTCAAAAGAACAATACGTTTACTCTTAAATCAGTAGTAAAATGGTATAATAAGCTTTTGTAGACTTATAAAGTTAATTGAAACCATTTTTTAAAATCACTCACCGCTTGACTTATCAGGGATTCTGGATGCAGCGAGTGGCTGCACTCGAACGCGACCTCGCTGAGGAACGCCAGCGATGTCGAGCAGCAGAGAAGCGAGCCGAGTTACTAGGAGGCGATGTCGCCGAGGCCCCACCGCAGTCACCACGACCAGGGGAAGGCGAGGAGACGGCTCTGAGGGAACGAGAAAAGGAGTTACTCAAATTTGAGGTAAGAATATTATACTGATAATATAACGTGTTTTCTTGTCAATACAACCCATGTTGAAAATTGTTGTAAGGCCCTTATAACGCCAAGGAACGTTGTTGTAACGCTATGTAAATGTGTGTCATGGATGCCCTGGACAAACTGTTTTAGCAAACTGAACAGGCGTATTGTAACCAAAATTAATATGACCTTAGAATTCAGGATTTAACTTTAAATACATGCGTTACTCGTTAAATTGATATTAAAATGAGAAACTGTGAACATCAGCGAATTAGGCTTACCTTTAATTTGAGGATCTTATAAATATCTCAAGAATTACATTGAAAACTAATGGTTCGTTATGAATATCTTTATTGAAAATTAATTATATCAAGGGGACTAAAGTCACTTCATGGAAATAAATAACCGCAAAATGCCAAAGCGGGGAGGGGAGTATTAAAACAGTTTCGATCTCCGTGACGGGGTGTCCCTTTTTACAGAGTATAGAGGGTGAATCAGATCGAAAATAAAACGTCTGTTTCGAATCCCTTATTCCTAATCGCAAAATCCTGTCTCAGAACTGTCAACATGACAATAATATCTAAGTTGGCAGGCTCAAGACAATCCAAACTTTGCACCTGTGTATTTCACACAAACACCTTGATAGAATTTTGACAGAGCAGTAAAAATATTTCCCGATTGTTGGAGCTGTCAGGTTATTGCTCCTTTGATCAGAATGAACTGCCCCGAATATGACAAGCTAGATCGATGCTATCTGGTTGAGTATTTTAATCAGATCCGTGCATCTCTTAGCGTTATTCCGCTTGTATTTCCTCTATCTAGCCACGCTGAGGTGCAAGAATAATTGGCCTTTATATCGTTATGACACTAGATGGATTGTTAAGATTCGATATTGGCATCAATATATTATTCTTAAACATTGGAAAACTATTCTGCCAAACTGAAGTTCACATATGTAACTAGATGGACACCCAGTAGACTGACAACCCATGCGACCGATACAGATGTAGGTCTCTTGAACCCTTATTAAAGTTGTCATCTGATGGCTGGTCGGTCTCGTGAACCATCTGAAGACTTTTCAGCAGGCCGTCAGTCTTGTGGTGATTAGGTCTCGTGGTCTATCGGTCACGTCGTCTGTCACGTTGTCTGTCAGTCTTATGGACCATCAGTTGTTTTGGCTGTCGGTCTCTTGAGCTCTTATCAGAACTCTTTCATGGTTTACGGGTCATTCTACTAAAATGTCCTGGGTCATAAGACCTTTCTTTCAAAATCATCGTAAGTATTTAAACAAACTGGCAGAGCCCTCTCCCATCTTGTCGTTTTAACAACAACCCTCTCCCATTTAGACAATTTCAGCTCCCCTTTTCCGTTCGTGCCATTTTATAGCGTATGTTATCAATTTGGATGCAATAACTGAAAGGCCTTTCTGCCAGACTCTTAAGTTCAGGTCTTTTGAAAAAAAAGGTTGATCGTCTTCTCTTTCCCAGAACTTCCAGGGACTTCCTTATGTTACTTAAATCTTCAATCGAACGTGACTTCCCGAGCTTTGTTTCTTCGAGCCTAGTCGATATAACATTAGTTGTTTCGTCTAACGATCTTCATGATCTTGACACATCACACTCTGGGGAACAAACCTAGAGTCAGCACCATAGGTCATTGACAGACAATCTGGTGACGCGTATGTTTGTATCCTTTGGTTTGATTTTCATGCATCGTTATTTTCCATGCTGGTTTTAAGCGGATAGATCCTTATTTTCGCTTCGTTTGTGTGAAAATGTCTGATATTTTCCATCAGTACTGACACCAAAGAAACATGTCAAACGTTTGCAGAATACCTTTCAAGATTGTTTGTGAACTTTTGTACAAGTTAGTCCTCTATTGAATTACTGGATGGAATAGGATCGGGAACTTAAGGACTTAAAAAGCAGTTTTAGCAAATAACTGGCCTTTCATCGAAGAAAGATACATAATCTCACATCAAAAATGATTTTACCGCGGTTTGGGATGCGGTTCGTGAGTAATACCTTATATGTTACAGTAACTGTCATCCTGTGGAATCTGTATGTCTTTCGAGTCCCCGAAGAAGGCGCACTTCACAACATTACTGCTATTTAATGTTTCGCACTTAAAGTCATCTTAAAAAGTCGTTCGTCCATCGCCCAACACACATCAACAGTAATCTAGCCTGCTTCAGCATTTGGTCCTGGTTCTGTATAGAAGATTTTCAGGGAAACTGACGTGTTTTGTGGAACCCATCTTGTCTCATTTTGACATCGTCATATTTTCCTCGGAGAGCATCTCTGTTCTAAGGGGAATTTAATGTTCATAGTAATGTGACATTGACATATGGTATAATTTTCACAAGACGCAAGTCACTGTCCGCACATATTCCTTGCAGCTGTCTAGATACAGTACTCATGACATGTTATGAATTCAGCATGTTTGATGGAACATTCGAGATACAGGTAGCAAAATATATTTTGTTTCATGAAATAAAAATTGGATCATAATTATGGGGGTGGGGGGGGGGGGGGGTACTGCACGTAAATATTAGTCAAAAGAGAAAGAGAAGAAAATCCAAAACATTCAAGAAAACATTGAATGAAGATAAAAAGGAAAAACGGAACGATGAACGTATAGCAAAAGAAGGAAAGAAGAAAAGGGTAAAGGGAAGTACTAATTTAACGTCTTGCTTTAGACGTCACAATATTTAGGGGAGCGAGAAGACATGAACTAGAAGAAAGAGATGTGACGAAATATCAAATAAACTGATTAGAGATTAGCAAAACCAATTCAATGACTTCAGTAGACTTACGATTAATGTTCAGATAGAGGGGAAGCTCGCCTGCATGGAAGCGACTTTATTCCCTTTACGGTGATTCACCTAGGCCCTGTCAGCTCCAACTTCCGATGTTGCGTTTGAAGGGAAGTGGAGAAAGGGAGGGGGTATACCTAGAGTTTTAGCTTGCGAGAAAAGGCAAATCCATTGCAAGGTCGGGATCGGATAATTTGAGAGTCAAAATAGGAAACGTTCTTTTAGATGGCGTTTCCAGCTTACCGCTCGTGTTCTTTTTCCAGATAATGTCTGTGATGGGGGAGAGACGTGCCCCACCCCCGCCTCGTCCTTAGACTCAACCTACACAAGCAATAGCAGTTGAATTCCAAGATCAGACTTCCTTTTTAATATTTTAAAGTGGATTCTCAATTTGCATTGATTAGATTGGTCAAAAGGGTGTATAGTGTTTCACGGTGGGAAATGTAATGTGGCTTCTATATTGTTTTAAAATTATTAATAAATACCATTAATTTTCAACTTGTTTTCGTCCACCTCATTTTGTAGCATGATTATTGCTATTCCACCAAATATTTATTAAAAAAACTTGTTTAGTGAAAACACGCTGTGCCTTGAAATGTTGAGCATATTACTCCCTTGTGCAAAATCTGGGTTTTCATAGAAAAATGAAAAAATGAAGAAAAAAAAAAGATATATATATACCTGGACAGTTTTTTACCCTCATATATGATGATTGAGATAACAGTTTGCCACCCTTACAATAACGATCTACCAAATTACGCATGACTATGAGGTGCTAATCGCTTCCAAATTTATCGTCCGTGTTCAGCAAAAGTATTGGCGCTCAATAGCCCGAAGGCTCGTCTATAGTGCAATGCCAATAGCCCCCCAGAGCATGGGAAATATCCAATGACTCATAACGTCTTTCTATTTATATACCGGTATGTGGTGATGTAGCACTATTTCCAATTAACAACCCGAATGGTCATCTATACTGGTGCCTCGTACCCTTCCACTATCATGCCTGTAGTATATGCAGCTAAGCTGAGTTTGTCGATAGGTCGTCAGTGCTATAGCATGGTTTGGTAGAGGTGTCTTTAAAGCCCCGCTGCACTACTTATAGCTAATTGCGTCCTCTATAAAGCAAACAATGTCTAATCGGTGGCCATTGGTCCCCCGTGATCCCCTTTTTCTTATGCTTATTGAGAGCTGATTTGATGAGATAATCACCTGTCAGTGACCTTGCAGGGAGGTCTAATCCTGCTATAAGTAGTGCAGTGGGGCTTTAATAGTCGAGTGTTTCAAATGCTTGACTGTGGATGCAAAGGTCGTGGGTTCGATCCCCGACACGGCACTTAATTCCTCAAGCAAGGGATTTTATCTGCATTGCTTCTCTCCACCCAGGTTTTAAATGGGTACCCGGTATATAGGATGTAAAAGTCATAGTTATTTGCTCAGCATCGTTAGATGAACAGATGTTTTTATTCCTTATTTATTTGAAAAGAGTTACTGACTACAACATTATTAATAAACATCCATAGGCACAAAATGTATTTACTGCGAATATATTTCATCATATATAATAAAATGGACAACTACTCTCTCCAAAAGTATCGGCCTCTGTAAAGATTTCAAATTGGTTTCAAGACATTTATGAAATACGTAAGACATCCTTAAAATTGTGATTTATCTTGCTCCAGAAGATAAAGTTGTTTTTCTACTCAATTTTAAATCAGCTAGTTTATAAAAGATAATTTATTCAAAAGAATAGTAAATGATATGGACCCCTTATCTCAAAATCGCAACAGTTCGACACATTATATGAAGTAGTTTATCCTTATAAGCTTTCAGAGTCTCAGAGATTACCTTCATCTGATAATATCAATTTTATCAAATTGGATGGATTACATTAGATTCTGATAACATCTTATTACACTTCAACCTCTATTAAGTAACTTAGATAACTAGCCCAACCTAACCCCAAATTCATAAATTGCCATAAAATCTTTCCGCTGGCTTCTTAGATTGACGAAACGGTCTGTCCGGAATATAGGTGCGGGATTTCAGAGACGCTTTGAAGAATCTTAAAGATAAGCGTGAGTTCTGGTAAATACAGAAAATAAATTCTCACAGAATCCAACGAAACTTACACTAAATGTTCAAGATTACAAATAAATGACATGTGCCAAACAATTTTGGTATAAATATA